AGTTGCCTCAGGGACATGTGGAACAACATCAAAGGTCTAGCATAGGTATAATTGGAGTCACAGAAGGAAAGGAAGACCAGGGAAGAAGACATATGTGAAGAAATAATGGCTGAAATTTCCCAATTTTTGGTGAAACCTTTACATGTATAAATTTGAGAAACGCAGAAAACCCACAGTTGGATAAATACAAAGAAAAGTCATAGATAAACTGAAAACCAAAATCAAAGAGAGAAATCTTAAAGCAGCATGTGAATAATGACACATTAAAAGGGGAACAATTATTTGAATTACCATCACCTTATCAGAGACGATGGAGGCCAGAGGACAGTGGGACAGAAACTTTACCATCCTGAAAGGAAAGCAGAAACAAAAACAGACAAAAACCTCTCACATCCAGCAAAAGTCTCCTTTAAGAATAAAGGTGAAATAAAGATGTTTTCAGATTAAAAGAAAACATAGATAAGTCCTTGCAAACAGATCTTCACTATAAGATATGCTAAAGGAAGGGAAGGAATTTGATACTAGATGGAGACTCAGATGATCCTGAAGGAATAAAGAACATTGGAAATGGTAAATATCCAATTAAATATAAAAGGTTATTTTCTTCTTAATTAAAATGCATTTAAGGGCTTCCCTCGTGGTGCAGTGGTTGAGTCCACCTGCCAATGCAGGGGACACGGGTTCGAGCCCTGGTCCGGGAAGATCCCACATGCCGTGGAGCTACTAAGCCCGTGTGCCACAACTACTGAGCCTGCGCTCTAGAACCTGCGAGTCACAACTACTGAGCCCGTGTGCTGCAACTACTGAAACCTGTGCGCCTAGAGCCCATACTCCGCAACAAGAGAAGCCATTGCAATGAGAAGCCCGTGCACTGCAACGAAGAGTAGTCCCCACTCACCACTACTAGAGGGAGCCCGCGTGCAGCAACAAAGACCCAACGCAGCCAAAAATTAATTAATTAATTTAAAAAAGTGCATGTGAGTGCTTAAAGCGACCATTTTAACATTGTCTTGTGGGGTTTAGAATATATATAGATGTCAAAAAACCTACAATTACAGCTTAAAGGACAGGGACAGGGTACGAATCTACATGGTTGCAAGGTTCCTACATTTCAGGTGACGTCATTAAATATTACTAAATAGACTGTTAAAAGTTAAGGGTGTGTGTTATACTCCCTAGATAAACCACCACAAAAATGATGTCAGGGGCATAGCAAACAAGTATTACTCACATAGAGACTGGTGGATATATCCCCAAAGCACGAGATGCTTTGCAGGAGCTGGACTTGGAAAGACTGAATCACTCACTCAACTTCCAGTTACTGGGCACCTACCGGGGAGCACCTGCCTTCACAGAGAGAGCCCAGCAACAACTCCGTGAAATGGTGTGGCCTAATGTGGAAGAATCAGTCTACGATCTAAGTGATGTCCTGGGAATGGTGGAAGTGACAGTTTGGTGAATCAGAATATGCCAGGTCACAGTTTGTTATTCTTTGAGGAACTTTCTTAGGGAAATGCCTCCTAGAAAAGACCAAAGGACAAAATTTGAATGGTTAAACACTTGAAAATCCGTTTTATAAATGTTGCAGTTTCGCCTTACATTGTATTGTAAATTGCCTCCAAGGTTGTGATAAGTGTAGCTGATTCGTTGCCCTTTTCATCCTAGGAATGAGTGGTGCGAGGTGGGGGCAGGAGGCACACTGATGTATGTGACATGCTTAGTGCCTGTCTGGGGGCTGCGCTCCCGGGCATTGTATCCTTGGTGGTGCTCTGTGCCCACAGGGGATGGCACGCCTGCAACCTCCGGACAGGCTGCCTAAGGCATGCCCAGCCTCCCCCGTGCTTCTCAGCGCTCCCTCCAGGCTGTGAAGCATTTGCCTACAGACATTTTCTTACTATTTATTGCATATGTTTTTATGAAAGGACTGAGCAGGAGGAATTTGCAATGAATAATTCATGTATAATTGTTTTCAAAATATAAAGTAATTTTTCAAAGAAAACCACCGATCTATCCGTTTCAGAGCCCCACTGCTTCTTGGGTGCCTGTGCGTGGGCCATGGCAGTCTGCCTGAAGGCTTTTGCTCCATCCCGAGCTGGGACAGGCTCCTGCACAGAGCGGGACGGGCTGGCTGTGTTTGCAGATGGCGCAGAGCCTCCAGAATTCCCAGCCACGCGCTCCTGCCCAGGTCCCCAGGCGGGCCCCTGGGGCAGCCTTGGAATCCAGCGCCGCTCCCCACCTCCACCGAGCCCCCGGCAGCACCGCAGCACCTGCATTGCCCTCCCTTTCGCTCAGCTTCCAATCCGCACCGAGCGCATCCTGCAGCTTGTTTGCTTCACCACACATACAAGACAAGCCAAGGCCAGTGCCCGACCGACTGGGCGGGCAAGACACCGTGAGCTGCTGTCACATTCAGCTCATTACTGACATAGGTGGCCAGCTCCCTGGTCCTAGCCCACACGCCAGAAATGGCGGCACCAAAGCAGGGGCCGATGGCTCTACTGCTGCTGTGGGTACCCTGTTGCTGCTGAGTAGGTTTATATTCTGCAGACCTAGTCTGCGGAGGCCGGGGCACAAGGCTCCACCTGTCCTGTCAGACCCCAGGGAGCAGAGGAGAAACTGTCTCCTGACAGCTTCCCAGGAGTTTCTCCTCTGCTCCCGGGGCATAAGGGAAAGTGGGAGGTGGCCTCATAGCCACTTCTTAGAGGCCTCCCACCCACTGGTGTCCCAAGGGCATCTCAAGGTGTTCTGTCGAGACCCAGATTAGCCTTTGCCTGTGTGGCCTGTTCGGATACATGTGAGAGTGCCAGCGCGCCATGGAGGAGCACCTCCCCCACTTCCTACGGTCATTTCCTATCCATTTCCGCCTGCCCTGTTCTTTGCCTGGGCCCCAGTGACCTTATTCCAACAGTGGAGTTCATCATAGGGGTTAAGAGGAACTGGGTTGGAACCGCAGGTCTGTCACTTTCTAATCATGTGACTGGGGCAGCTCTCATAGCCTCAGTTTCCACATCTTTAAAATGGAGTTGTAAGAGTGCTTTTCTCATGGCTTATGACAAGGATTAAATGAGACGTTAATACCTGTAAAGATCTCAGCACAATGTCTGGCATGTAACAGGCATAGGCACTGCTGCATGATGATGATGATGATGATGGTAATGGTGGTGGTGATGATGATGGTGATGGCGGTGATGATGATG